TGGTCAATGACATGAGACAAAGTATATGTGAACTGCTGTATGAAAAGTGAATTTACTCTGTAAATCTTCACCCAAATCCTAATAAAAAAAAAAGAAAAGAATAATCCTACTGTGAGGAGTGTACTTAGCTGGCAGCCTCTGGCTGCCGCTCATTTAAGATCCACCACAGTGTTCAAGTTGGGGTTTACACTCTCCCCAGACTGTTCCCAGACTATGACTGAACATTGTGAAGAGTACTAAGGTCAGGGCATTACTACCTTATGCAGACTCTTCTAAAGAAGAATCTTTGTTCTGGGCTCCCCATTGGCCTGGTTGAGACTTTCTCCAAGCTGCAGTGCAGTCTGAGTTTCTTCCGGCCCAACTCTCTTTTCTTTCCTTTCTCTTTTCATAAATTTCTAATCTACATGGCATTCTAAAGGCTCTCCCTATGCACACTTGTCTCATCCCTCATTTATCCTTCACCCATATTTCTCTGAATAAGTCTTTATGCTTCTAATTCTGCCTTGGTATTTGATTCCTGGAGGATCCCTAGTATTTCAGAAAAACATTTAAGGTGGAGGTGACCATTGTACCTGCAATTTACCAACTTATGGAAGTATTTTAGTATTTTATCAATCAGTACAACTCTATCAGTGTGTACTGGCTGAAGGCTGAATTTCAGTAACGAGTCTAACTTCATCCTTGGCTCTTTGTAGGTAATCACATTTATTATTTGATTATATTATTCTATTACAATCTATCCAGGATTCCTTTATGTAAATAGAAGCAGATGCAGTTATATATTTTCATCTTCCTCTTCTTCTAAACATTGTTGCTAGCACAATATATCTTCTCTCTGTAGTTTGTTCTTTTTTTCCAACTTAAATATACCTTTCCATATCACTACATAGAGAGCTTCTTTATCCCTTTTGACTTTCACATGACATAACATTATATATAAGTAGTCACATATTTATCAAATCACATATTGATGGACAGTTGTGTTGTACCTAAACTTTTCCTGTTTACTATGCTGCAATGAATAATCTTTTTTTTTTTTTGCTGTGCATATTTTCCTTTTTATTTATTTATTTTTTATTTTAAGAGTTTGTTTTACACTCAAAGTCATGTGTACATTTAGTTTCATTTGCCATTCACCATGTCCAACCCTAACTCAGTCTCCTCACCTCCCTACCTTGCAACCCTCCTCCTATGCCCCTCATAATTATGCACTCCTGTTTGTCCTGCATTTCCTCAGTTTGAATGTTGGTCCTTTGGTGTCCCATGGTTTATTGCTTTGGGGGATGTATTACCGTTGAGTGTGTGGGTGCAGCATCCTGGGTTGAGTGGTCTGCATGTACATCTCGCTAACCATTGGGCTGAGAGCTTGCCCCTGGGCGTGAGTTTTATTCCAGGTGCTGAATGTATTTCAGGGCCATAGTATTGGGAGTCTCACCAGACTTCATCTGACCAGTAATTCTGGTCATTAAGTTTCTGAATCTTTTGCATGTGTCATTTAGATCATGTGTAAGATTATGAAATGGGCTAGAAAAATGACATGACTTTAAGAATTGCATCTTATATATAGTCATTTCTGAGAGTAAACTGAAGCCAAGACTATAACAGAAAGGCAGAAAGCAGCTGAGGAAGGGAAGGGAGTCTTCATATCTGTGTCTATCTATCTGTAACTCTATCATCTATAGTCTATATCTCTATCTGTATGTCTGTCTTTCTGTCTACCTATCTATCTAATCTTTATTCCCTTTCATATGCCTATCTTGCTCCCAGGAAAGGATGTGAGAAACATAATCATAGAAATATGTAAAATGATCATCAAATGTGTGCTATTTTCCAAAGAGCACTTGCAGTATTCATAAGTAGATTAAGTCATAAACTAAAGGTAAAAATGTCTGAAGATAAATGATTAAATCTGTGTGGAGCTCTGGTTGCATAGTGGTTAAAGTGTACAGCTGCTAACTAAAAAGTTTGGAGGTTTGAACCCACCAGCTGCTCCGAAGGAGAAAGATGTGTCAGTCTGCTTCCATAAAGATTTGCGGTCTTGGAAACCCTCTAGGGCAGGTCTACTTTATTCTATAAGGTGGCTATGAGTCTCATTTGACAGTGGGTTTGGGTTTTGGTTATATGTATGTAGGGGGTGAGGGGATAATATATAGCTATTTCTTTTAAGTGTAAGAGAGAGCTGATTCCTTCCTTCCATTCCCTGCTCACTTTAATTACACATGATAAGAGCATCTAAAGGGGGTTTGACACATTTCAACCCAAACTCAAAAGCAGTTTCCAAAGTGAAGCTTCAGAACATGGGGTAAAATACTACGTTATTTTTGTCTAAGTTATTCAGATATCTAATAAATAAAGCACATGTCTCTGTAAATCACCTTTATACGTTACATGCCAAAAAAATAAATAAATAAAGCAATTCTTAGTATTCATGAAGACTTGCTTTTATTTATTACAGTTCCACAGATGTAGAAGTGCTCCTTTGAGAGTAGCTAGTGTTTATCATGATAAGGCCATTCTGTGAAACCAAGTGCTCAGATGTTCTTTAAAGCAGCTTACGAATCCACTCTGCTTCAGGCTGAGGAATAAAGAAGAAAAAGGAAAATAAAAGTAAAACTTCATTTGTATACTCATTCTAGAGAGTCCTTTTGTGTGTTGAGGACCACACTGAAGCACAGACTGTCATAGATAGAAAGGAGCTTGGATATTTGATTATTTCTTGTTAAAAATACAGGTTACTGGACCCCACTTCAGATCTACCAAATTAAAGTCTTGGAAGATGGAGTTTCCCATGGTGCATACTCAATGAATTCCATGAATGATTCGAAAGGTCAGTGAATGGTGACAAATACTGAGTACTACTAGTACTTCCACTAGCATTTATGCAAGAACCAAGGTCCAGCCACGTTAAATTATTAGTCTGATTTCTCACAATTATTTCAATGTACTAGAACTTTTTAATTGAAAATATAATTTAAAAATATAAAACTGCATTAAAATAATGGATAGTGCCTCTAAATTCCACTATATTAAACAAGTATTTTACCATTTGCATATTACTCTCTCTTTGTGCACAAATGTGGATTTTTGCCTATTTTAATCCTATATTATTTTTTTACCACTTCTTTTCCTAGCATTATATTATGGATGTATTCCTTTCATTCTCTAAGGAGCTCTGGTAGCATAGTGCCTAAGACACTTGACTGCTAACCAGAAGGCTGGCGGTTCAAACCCACCAGCCACTCCTCAGAAGAAAGGTTGGGCAATGTACTTCCATAGTGACATTGCCTCAGAAACCCAAGGAGGGGTCACTCTGAGTCGAGTCCAGCTTGATAGCACATAACAACAACATCCCTTTCATTCTCTAAGCTTCATAACTATCATTTCAATCAGCACATAATATTCTATTTTTCATGTTTTACTAAATCATTCCCCTAATTTTATACCTTTAGTTTAACCTCAAACTTTTTTCCCTTACAATATTGCAATGACCATATTTATGCACAAAGTTTGTTTTTCCTTCTGCTGAATTTTCTGTTACAGTACATTTGTAGGAATTGGTCAAAGGGTATTGGTCCATCTATGACTCTTCCAACATATTCCCATATAAATATAAATTTAAAGGAAGGTTAAGCCACCTTATGCTGTTGATGCAGTGAGCAGTGAACAAAGGTAACACTGTCACTGAAGCCTCAACAGATTGCATAATGAATTACACACACACACACACACCGCTGCATTATTATGTGTGAAATGATCTCATAGGGTTGCTTTTGCTGTGATTACTAACCAAGGCCAATATTTTTCATAAATTTCTTTCATTTTCTTTTCCTTGTTATGTTTTTCAAATGCATACATGTCCTACGATATTCCTATCTATTTAACTTTTCTTTGTAAATCCAGATTAGGAATTTAGTAAATGTACAATCCTGATTCTGCAAGAAAGGTTGGCACTCAAAAACATTGCTGGCAGATTAGAGAAATTCCAAGCAAAGGTGAGATCTGTTCCAGCTTTCTGCCAGATTATAGTTTTGTTTCTTAAATCTATATCCTGTTGTAAAAAAATTATGCTTCTATATATTGACTATTTATTTTAAATATCTTGGATCATTCTTATTAGTGTATCTCATCACTAGCATTCTTATGCATCACAGCTCAGTACTCTTTCCTACATTATGCTCCCTCCTGAACAATTAGGATAAAATGTTGGCTGGATCTAACCTTAAATGTAGGTGGAATGTATCTTGGTAGTGCAGTGGTTAAATTATGAGCTGCTAAAAGTTTGGCACTGTGAAACTACCAAGTGGCTCCATGAGAGAAAGACTGGGTGATCTATTTCCATAAAGATTACAGACAAGAAAATCCTGTGGGATGGTTCTACTCTGCCATATGGGGTCTCAATGAGATGAACAGCAACAGCAAACATTTATTTATATAGATAGATGAGACAGGCACTTTTAAAAGCAATTCATAGTACCCCAAATGCTATCCTTTGAATTTCAATTTTTTTTTAGCTTTTGGCTTAAAGATCTTTAAGGACTCCAATTTAAAATAGAGATATTAATGGAAGAGTAGTGAAAATTAAGCTTTTTAATACATTATCTTGACAGCTCAGAGAACGGTAGTAAAAGGTAGGATCTTTTTTTCATACAGTAAAGATTTGGGGGAATGTCCATAAAATGGGATATTGTCCAAGGAATATAGATTGTGGAGCTAGTTATTTTTTAAATCAAAATCTGTAGATCAGTAAGTTGACACCAAAATTGAAGGTAGGAGTTGGGTAGAGGGGGAAGGAGTAGACTTGTAGACTTGTAAGGCACACCAAAGCAGCAGCACAGCAGCACAGTTATACAACAGGCAGAAGTTATCATGGTATAAATCAGAACTTTGTTCATCTTCCTTCCACTTGTTTTATAGTTTAGTATTTAAATACACACACACATGCACAAACATACAAATGTTGGTGAGAGGCTCACAATCTTTCACTGCTGCTTTTATACCTCTTACTATGTGTCCCTGCCACCATCTACTTTGTCCAGCACTTCTGGGCTGTGAATTCTGTTTAATTCCTCAGTTAGTGTAATTTTTAGGATCATCCTCCCCTCTCATCTTCCATCTCATGGTGCAATTTCACATCCTGGCTCTGCTATTACCTATTTGATTATTCTTGGAAAGAAATTCCCTCATTTTCTCTGCTATGAAAATCCCACTCATCCTTTACAACATATCTCAAATATCACTTTCTTCATCCTTGTTGAATGAATAAATTAATTAATAAACTGAGCAGATTAAAATTCATACTATCAAGATTCATCTGGGTTGTTATAAACGCCCAACATTAAATATGTTGGGAAACCACTAGTATTTTGATCAGTGGAGAGTAGAAGTAGCAAGACGAGTTAGGAACTCTTTGATATTCCAGGAAGGATGCTGGTGATTTAGACCATTAAGCTGATAATGTTCAGGATGGAGAGAAATGGATTGATACAGGGTACATTTTGGAGATAAAGTAGACAAGTCTTACTGTTAGATTACATGTGTGGTGTGGAAAGGGTAAGAGAATAATACATCATATCCATGTTTTAAAATATCAATTGACAGGATAGATGGTGGTGCCATTTACTAAGATGGACAGGACTGTGAAAGGAATAGGTGTTGAGATGGGTTAAAAGTATTGATAATATTTGTTAAGTTTGAGATCCCTAGTAATGAACAAAATAGTACAATGGAGATGTCAAGTAGGCCATTGGATATAAAAGAATTTGAAGCTTAATGGAAAGGTCAGGGTTGGAAATATTACTTTGGGAGTCATGGATTGATTCAACTTACTAAGAGAAGGTTGAAGACAGAAAAGGTATAAGACTAAGCCTTGGGTCATTCTAACATTCAATGGTGAGGAAGAGGAGGATTGTATAGAAGTTTAAAGAGACTCGGCATGAATGTATACAAGGCCAGAACATACTCTGAAAGTTGCACTGTAGAATGAAAATTAATCCTTTACCTCAACTTGTTTTCCTATATTTTATTTATTTTTCATACGAAGTAATTGTGAAAAAGAATCAAGCTATTTGAGGATCCCTTTTTTCCACACTCACCTTTAAAATTACTCTCACATGTATTTTCATTACTTGTAAATCATATTGTCCTAATGACTACCCACCAATTGACTCAATGTCTAAGGTGGGGAGAGAAGATATCATCTAGAACATGGGGGTCATTTATCAGCTTCGAGTCTCAGAATTCACTTTTTGAGTCCATTGGGAGAAAAACAGACTTGAAATCCAGGCTTTTTGGTAGAAAAAAAGGGTATTTCTAAATTATATATATATATTTGTTGTTGTTGTTATTTGCGTTGAGTCAGCCCCGACTCATAGCGACCCCTCCTTGGGTTTCTGAGGCAGTATCACTACGGAAGTAGGATTACCCAACCTTCCTTCCGAGGAGTTGCTGGTGGGTTTGAACCGCCAGCCTTCTGGTTAGCAGTCAAGTGCCTTAGGCACTATGCTACCAGAGCTCCTATATATATATGACAAATGAAGGTCTATACATAAAGTTTTATTATAAAGCAAGGATAGGAAGAACTTAGAATATAAGGTAAATGGGATCTCCACAAGAGGAGACAGAGGAAAGATAAAGTAAAAGGAAGAGGAAAAGGAAGAGGCAGAAGAATAATTAAAGCGAGAAGCTTAAGGTCAAGACCTAGCCACATCTACAGATACAATTCAGCAGGACAGAGGGCACTTAGCCCTACCATGCCAACAGAACAGAAAATGAACACTGTGTAAGCCCAGAAACCATGCAAATGAGTTACACATCGACCAAAGATTAGGGAACAGCAAGGAAGGCTGGCATATAAGACAGGAGCCCCTTTGTCAAGTGAGTTGTCTACTTATGCTTCCCTTTATAACTAGAGTATTTTGTGAAGGAAGAAGAGAAGGGGAAATCCCTTGGAGGATACAGCAACATAGTATGACAGTTTTTACTCACAAAGAGATTGAGTTAACCTGAAGGTTAAAGAGAGATAGAGGTCTTGCTACATCTGACAAGTTAACTCCTTCTTTTCTATTACCAGTAAGAATGAGAGCTCAGATATGGATGAAATAATTTACATCTTTGGCACAACTGGATTTATGTATGCTATAGTTCCACCCTGCTATACTTGGATTTTGTTTGAACCTTCACTGTGTCAGTATCTTCCCAGAAAATGTCTTTGTTTTCTTACTTAAATCTGCCTTTATAGGAGTTTTGGTCAATTTTCATTTTTGACCCTTTCTAAGTATAGAACAGTTAAACATTTTGTGTGTGTGTGTGTGTGTGTGTGTGTGTGTGTGAAATGGCCCTCATTACAAAGTAATTCTAAATTTTTCTCAAATCACAATTCAGTTCCTTCTGCTCCAGGCATATTATACAAATAATTCTTATTTTTATCATCTTTTGACATATTTTGCAAATCTTTTGAGTCATTTTAAGTACCATTCTCCATTCTTACCTGCAAATCTCAAACTTCTTACTATTACAGCAAAAGATAACTATCCTTTAAAGAAACTATAATGTCAAAACAATCAAAATATTTAATTTTTATGCAATTTTCACAAAATATAAAACAGGGGTAAACATACCAAAGGAGCATATCTTGGTTGTGGAGGTGGAGGAGGCATCCTGCACCGACAAAGACGTTTGACCTTGGGTGATGGTGTTAAAGGCGTACAAGGAGGTAGTGGTGGTCTTTCTCTTGATGGAGGGACTCTACCCAAAGTTTTTTTCTCTCTTTCTCCAAATGTGGTCTTTTTGTATGATGTTTTGAGTCCTTTCTTTACTCCCTGTGCTTCCTTCTTTGAATCTGTGAATGTGGCATCTGATTCATCAGTTGCTCTACTTTTAGCCCCAGGTGTATATAGTGATCCTTCAGAGTCAGCATCTGAATCTTTGAATGTGGGCTTTAAGGGTTTTTTTTGGCCTTTCTTTGGATAATCATCAGATTCAGCATCTGTGAAGTCTGTGTCTTTTTTTGTATTCTTTAAATCTTTCCTTGCACCTTTCTTGTCCTTCTTTGACTCCCATTCAGATTCAGAATCTGCATCAGTAGACACTGCATACTTCTTTGCATCCTTCTTTTTGTCATCTTTCTTTGAATCTCTCTTATCCTTCTTTTCATCTTTTTTACTCTTCTTTGACTCTAATTCAGATGCAGATTCAACATCACTAGAATCTGTATCTTTCTTTGCATCCTTCTTCTTACTGTCTTTTTTCAAATCTTTCATATCCTTTTTTTCATCTTTCTTACTCTTAGACTCCAATTCAGATCCAGATTCAGTGTTAGTAGACTCTGTTTCTTTCTTTACATCCTTCTTCTTACTGTCTTTCTTTGAATCTTTCTTATTCTTCTTTGCATCTTTTTTTATATCTTTTGAGTCTACAGATTCAGCATCAGTAGAATCTGTGTCTTTCTTTTCATCTTTCTTCTTAATGACTTTCTTTAATTTTTTATCTTTCTTTGTTTCTTCTTTTGCATCCTTTGAACCTGCAGATTCAACATCACTAGACGCTGAGTCCTTTGCATCCTTTTTCTTATTGTCTTTCTTTTCATTTTTCTTTTCCTTTGGACTTTTCTTTGCATCCTTTGGACCTTCAGATTCACTACTAGAGGTCGTATTTGAATCCTTCTTTGTATCTTTCTTTGCACCCTTCTTGGAGTTATTCTGTGAATAATTCTTTAGCCACATATCAAAATCCATTGATTCAGTACCAGACTCCTCTAAATACATCACTGAATGCACATTTGAACTAATTTTTGAGCAAGATTCTGATTCAGCATCAGGATCTTTCTTTGAACTCTTAGAATCTTCCTTTGGATCACTCTTGGTACCTAGGGATTTAGTATCTATCTCCTTGCAATTTTCTGAATATTTCTTATCTTTTTTATGATCTTTCTTTGAGACTTCCTTAGACTCCTTGTGTTCTGAACTTGGATATGATTTAGACTTTGGTTGCTTATATAGATCATTTTCACAAGATTTTGCTGGAATTTTAAGTGCTTTATTCTTTCTTTTAAGTTTTCCATCTTTTACTGTTTTCTTGGATTCTAGAATTGTTGCATGTGGGCCTCTTTTTTCCTTAGAATATTTCTTTAAATCTCTTCTTTCTTCGCTATCTTCATACTCTTTAGGTTCTGCCTTTTCAGATTGGGCTTTGGGAATATAAGAACATCTGAAAGGAGCCTGTCTCCTGACAGCTAAGTAACGAGATGGTGTTTGGAAATTTTCTCTTAAAGAATGCCTTATCCATATGTGAGCTTTCTTCTGACTTTCCTTTAATTTTCTTTTCTCCAGTCCCTGAAAAGATTGGTTAGAATAATGACAAGCGTTTGTAAGTGAGTTTTATCTTTTTTATATCACAATATCAATATAGTTTAGCTTTTCATTAATCTATTTAAAATTGAGAAAAAGTATTTTATTCTCTTTCAACTTTGTGTGTGTGTTCTTAAGAGAGAGAGAGAGAGAGAGACTTTCAACTTTGTGTGTGTGTGTGTGTGTGTGTCCTTAAGAGAGAGAGAGAGAAGACTCAACCTCGACTTTGGGCATTAGATGACTTTAAGGGAACTTTTAAGGTCCTCTCAGTGATTCAAATTAGGATTAGAGAAGGCCTACAATAGGCCATGACATTCAAGGGCCTCTCCTCACAATTGACAGTGGATTCCTATTGCATCCCTATATGGGAGAGACCTTTTGGAATGTTTTGTCCAACTTTCACCCTCAATTTAGCTAAAAAACAAGATGATTCATTTGAAGTTTGTTATGATAATTCTTGTGATATTTGTAGGTTTCAGGTTTAACCTGTTTTCTACTCCTACTTGCAAAGTCTATAGTCAGTGTTAGAGCCTAAGACTCCTACTATGAAGCACTGCAAAACAAACAAACAAAAAAGGGATATAAAATAAATGTTTAGTTCACATTAATTTGTGTAGCAGTGGTGTAATTTTCTTTTCAACTTCCACTCAAACATTTATTAAATCTGATTTTCATAAGTGGTCACACAGACAGATTTTAAATTGAATTCTTATATACCTTCAACTATTCAATAGAGGTACTGACAGTCAATTAAGCTGTTATATGGAATTAGAGGACAGAAGTTATGGTGCTGCAGTGGTTAATGCATTGGACTGCTAACCAAAAGGTTGGCAGCTTGGACCCACCAGCTGCACTGTAGGAGAAAGATGAAGCAGTTTGGTCTCTCAAAGATTTACAGCCTTGGAAACTGTATGGGACAGTTCTACTCTGTTCTATGAGTCACTATGAATCAGAATGAGTCACTATGAGTCACTATGAGTCAGAATCAACTTGATGACCGTAAGTTTGATGTTTTTTTTTAAAGTAATGAAGAAAATCCTGAAACTTGGATCTCTCTACAGATGTAATGAGATGTCAGGAGAATCTTTTTTTTTTTTTTTAATTCATTTTTTCCATAGGTAATTCATGTATAGTTTATTTTATTTTATTTTATCTTTATTAATTGATAGGATAACTTTACTTTATAGAAGCAGTAGAAAACATACATCTTCAAGTGTCCAGTATCCTGAATTCCAGATTAAAGAAAATAGGGAGTCCCTAATACTTCATCAAGATTGGCTTCTGCTCTAAGATTCAAATATTGGTTATATTTGTAGCTATTCAACATTTCCTGATGGATCTTACTAGTTACAGCATTAGGTTTCCAGTTTGCTTAGCCCTCTTGGTTATGTAATAAATGAGATGGAGAGCTATGTCCAAATAAAATTTCAATCTGAAACAGGTGGGGGCAGTCTGTCATACAGGGTATTTTTAATTAAAAATATATCTGCTTCCAGCAGATAGTAAAACCCAAATTACATATGACTTATTTATATCTATGTACTTTTGTAGAAACTTATATTTAGCTTAAAAAAAATCTTTATAATACTTACAGGAACTGTGTGTAATTCCAAAGGTCTTGATGTCTTTTTTCTACCTGGCAGGGGTGGTTTGGGGAATGTCAAAGCAAAGTGTTCTCGATTCCATGATTTTTTGTTTGATGTACTGACTAGAATAAGAGAGTATAAAAAGTAATTTGGAGTTAATTGCCAGATTTTTTATTAGAACTGAAATATTAATGAATGGAAAAAATATCATTTGATTTAAATTAAGCTATATCTCAAAATACAGCTTTTTTCCACTGGAGTTTGTAGTGTATTTGGAGACGATTTAAGGGAAACAAAATCTTGTTTTCTCATTTAGCTTTGGATTATGTTAAATGACATTGTAATTTTTGTTTTTTAGATTAAATAATTTTTGACTAAAAGCATAATGGTTAAAATTACATAATCAAGCAGGAATGGAAAAATGATAAAAATTCCCTATTTCTTTTCAAACATCTCTATCTTGGTTTATTTTCTTTATGTCACTTTTGGTTAGATTGCAGAAAATATGGTTTCTTGTTCTATATTCCCCATAATATATGCTCAAATATAGTATTCAGTTCTAGGAATGTTATTTAATGAATGACATAAACCCACTTGAGGACATCCAGAATAGAATGTTTATGAAGATAAAACTATCTGGGAGCTATGTCAAAAGAAAAATTGGTTAGAGATGTGATTACTATATTCAGATACATAAGTAGTTATTATGTGGCAGAGTAGTAGTAGCAGTAGTAGTAGTAGTAGTAGTAGTAGTAGTAGTAAGGAACTCTGGTGATGCAGTGGTTAAGGCATTTGACTGTTAACCAAAAGTCAGTGGTTTTAACCCACCAGCTGCTCTGAGGGAGAAAGATGGGGCAGTCTGTTTGGTTTAAGATTTAAGGCCTTGGAAATCCTATGAGGCAATTCTACTTTGTCCTATAGGGTTACTATGAGTTTGATTCAACTTGATTACAGTGGGTTTTCTTTTTGCCTTTTTTTCCTTAGTAGTAATAGTAGTAGTATCATAGCCACAACTGCTAACACTAAATAGTGCTTACTGTGTCAGACTGTGTTCTAAAACTAAATAAAGCTGCTCTTTATACAGAAAATTATTTAATTTTCACAAAAACACTTTGAGGTAGATAATATAATTTTGCAGATGTGGAAAATGAAGAAAACAAAGAGATTTAGTTATTTGATCACGATTACAAAGCTATTAAGTAGCAGCCCTAGAATCCATGCTCTTAATTATATATTGTAGCTTTCTTTCATTCATTTCATGATGGAAGAATTAAAACCAATGGGTAAAAGTTGCAAAAGTGTAGGAAAATTTCAGCTCAATATATTAAAGAGATATCTTCTAATGTTGTTGCTGTTTTAAAAAAATGGCTCTTTACTATACACTTCCATTCTCCTGACTATATTTGCATTCTTTACTTTAGGTATTGTGATTGTGAGTTTTGAACCTAAGCAAACCTTATGCAATTAAGTTTCATTTGTATTAAGAGAAAGAACAAAGTAAATATTTTTTTCCTTTAAAATGACTAGTACAATATCACAAATATTTTGCACATACACACACATCAACATACACATGTATACACACACACAAATATATACACGTACATGCTTCTACTAAATTTTAATGAAAATTCATGGCAGATTTTGCTTTATGACATTGAATGGAGAATAGTAATCATGTGTTCCTAGAAGTATTTTCAAATATAACCTAAATAAGTGTAAAATTTAAAAGACTAAATTCTTACTTGGAATGGAATCATATGTTCTGATGTTTACTTCTTGTCTATTGAAAAAAGATAAAATGATTTCATTGAGTTTTTAATATGGTTAACTATAATAATAATAATAAGCAAGAATAAGCCTGTAATAAAAATTTATGAAATATTCTTAATTTTCCTCTCTCCATTATCTAAGAATATCTACTAATAATTCATATTCCAGTTCCTCTACTTTAGATTTAGTTATAGATGAACAGATATTATTTTCACCAGAATCCTGAACAAAAATAAATGATCAACAAAGACTTGAAATAAAAACACCAATTTGAATAATTCTAAAATATGTTGTTTCTGTTATATAAGACCATGAATTGAACCAATTTCCCTAAAAAAATCTTTTAGTGAAATCAAAATTAGTGGAAGATCAATATAGTTTCTAAATTCATTGAATAAGCTGTTTAAAAAATACAATTCCTTAATATTACAGAACTTATATAGAATTGTTAATGATGTGTGAGGGAGGGCCACACTTATTGACATAGATTTTGAATTTTCTTAAAAATCAATTCCTGAGATTTTCTATTTGAGAGATTTTCATTTAATTTGCTAATAATCAACATTCTCCACCAAGGATACACACGACATGATTTGCTTTAAAAAAGGTCATTTTCTTATTAGTTAGCTGGGATAGTGAGTTTTGATCAATGCTAAATCCAGAGATTTTGCTCTTAGACACATATACTCTATAGCCTGATATTTTGACTCACCTAAATCAAAAGGTTTGGGCTGCTACCCAAAAGTTTTTTGGTTCTAACCCACTAGCCACTCAATAGGATAAAGGTGAGGCAGTCTGGTTCTGTGATGATTTACAACCTTGGAAATCCAATGGGGATTGCTATGAGTTGTAACTGACTCTATGGCAGTGAGTTTGGTTTGTTTTTTGGAAGAAAGCTCTAATATCCAGCACAAAACTTGACCCATCATTCAATAACTACTGAATTACTTTCAAGACTTGGGAGAGGGTGAACAATACATTTAGTAGCCCAGTGGTTCTTAACTGGAGGAAAACATCAAAATAAAGTTTTAAAAAGTAAACATGTCTGAGAACTGTCCCCAAAGATATGAATCAAAGTAACTGGATGTGGGGTAATCAAATTTGTATTTTGATACTTTGTTCTGGTTAATAACTACTGTTCTAACCTAATGGTCATGAAAAAGGAAAATTTGTAGATTTTTGAAAAAGTTCAAGTGTGAGTTTTGCTTTTCCCAAAGGCAGTTATCAATGACTTACTAGTTCTTGGTGAAGCCACGTTCATTTAGCACAGTAGCTAGAAGAGATTATGGCCTAAGCTCCTGGAAATTTAACAGTTTGGAAGTTTGTCATGCTGGCTGAGTAGCTTCTTTCACACTCTGGGAAAAGCACCTTGCATCTGACTTGATTTTGACCTCCTTCCCAAAGTCTAAAGTAATGATTTCCAAACTTTTTTTCAAGAACTTTTATCAGTAAACAAATATGAGCACATGCCTTATCTACCAGCCAACAAACAAACTTCATTGCCATTGAGTTGGATCTGACTCATAGTGACTAATAGTTGTATCACTACGGAAGTAGATTGCCCAACCTTCCTTCCGAGGAGAAGCTGGTTTCAAGAACTTTTACCAGTAAACAAATTTGAACACATCCCTCATGTTTATATATAATTTACATTATATTGTTATAATATAAATCACTGACACACAAATTTCACAATTCTAGTCTATGGAACTGTGAGAATAAATTTCTATTGTTTTAAGCCACCCATTTTGCAGTACATTGTTACAGAAGCCATAGGAAACTCATACAGATTTTTATAGCAAGAGTGGGAATCTGTTGTAACAAGTATCTAAAAATGTGAAAGAGTAGCTTTGGAATAGGGTAATGAATAGAGTTGTGAGGTGATTGATAAAAGCCTAGATTGCCTTGAAAAGACTGTTAGTAGAATTAAGATCATTAAAGGCAATTCTGGTGAGGGCTCAGAAAGAAATGAGAGACAGCTTCTATTATCTTAGAGAATACATATATTGTCATGAACAGACTGTTTCCAGAAATATGAATGTCGAAGGTGCTTTTGGTGAGGACTAAAAGAAAAAGATGAATATTTTATTGACAATTGAGGGAAGGCAATCCTTATTATAAAGTGGTAGAGAACATGGCTAAATTTGTTCTACTGTTTTGTGGAAAGTCATTTTGTAACCGATGAACTTGGATATTTACCTGAAATTTCCAACCAAGGTTTTAAAGCCATGGTCTGGTTTCTCCTTACTGGTATAATAAAATGTGAGTGGAAAAAGATAAATTGAAGGAGCAACTATTAAGCAAAAAGGAACTAGAATTTAAAGATTTAGAAAATTTTTCAGCCTATAAATTTTTCAGTTTACAAAAAATGAGAATGTGTGCTCTGGATAGAAGGCCAAAGTTGTAGTTGGACAAAAGTTTACTGGAGAGATTATGCACGTGATGCATAAACACAATCAACCATTTCAGTAAAAAACTGATAACTTGGACTTAAGGAGACAGAGATGGAATTAAATGGACAGCTTTCAGAATTCTGAAAATGTATAGGCAGGAAATGGACTGATTGATAGAGTAACTTGGCTATGAATATGTATTATCCTTCAAAAAAGAGAAGAATGACTGAGAGTGACTCAGAGCCCATTAGGGTTACCACTACCACTACAGGCCCAGAAGTTGTAGGCCCAGGAGGCAGGGCCATTGCCTACTTTGCTTCAGAGAGTGGTACTGCCACTGAGTGTCTAAAGGGTAGGACTGCCAGGGAGGGCACAGAGATTAAAGCTGCCTCACCCTAGGGAAGATCAGAGACCCCTGGAGCCTCCTTTGGAGCCTATGAAGGCTCCATAGGCTCAGAGGACCAAGCATTGAACCTCATAGAGCAAAATGACTATTCCCATACCATGCAATTTAATGGATTTTGTTGTGCTGAGTGTAAGACTTGCTTGAGAATCATGACTCCTTTTTTCCTTCCAATTTCTCATTTTTCTTTCTTTTTTTTTTTTAATGGGAATATCTATCCTTTGCCTGTCCCACCATTGCATTTTAGAAACACATAAATTTTTGTTGTTGTTGTTGCATTTCACAGGTACAGAGATGGAGAAGAATTCCATTCTGGGATGAATCATATTCAGTATCTCACCCATGTCTGACTTGTACAAGATTTGGGACTTTTTGAGTTAATGCTGGAATGGACTAAGAGTTGGAATCAATTTGATGACAGTGGGTAAAGGAAGCCAGTCAGTGGTTTTTTTTTTTTTTTTTTTCCCCAAAGTGTTACTGTTTGGATAACAAAGAAGCCAAGAATCAGAATCTCTAACCCAGATGAAGAACTGTTTAAGATTTGTTAAACTCACTATCTCAACTGCTGGCTGAATCACCAAGCAAATTTGTCTAAGCTTCCCTCCAGCCAGGTAAATGATGTTTTGCATTTCAAAGGCTTCAGATTAGAGCTGTTCAACCTTCTCTTGTTAGCCAAATGAACCAGTTTTCCATTTCGAAGACTTCAGCTAAAATGTACTTGATCTACATTCAATCACAAGGCCCCCACATCCTAGACATACTGCTTATTCAAACTGTATCAGGAGAAAACGAATTAATGTTTGGCTAAAAACTGTTAAGAAAATATGTGATTTGATAACTCCTTGGAAATTTTCCTCCATTTCCCTGTACTTTTATCTTTGATGTGAAAACATTTCCTTTGTTTACTTTACCTAATAAAAACTAGCTATTTCTCCTTAAAGAGAGGACACTTGTGCATCTTCTCTGAAGGTGCTATGTTCCTCCATTTCATGAGATGTAATTATTATTTCAAAAAAACCTTTTGTTTTATTTTCTAATAGAGCATAAGTCTAGTGCTTTCACAAAGACAGAACTTATTTGGAAATTGTGTCTTTGCTTATATAATTAGTTAACATCTGGTCATACTATAATACCAAACAAAAAGCAAACACACTACCGTCAAGTTGGATATGACTCATAGCAACCCCTCCTTGGATTTTT